AAGGAAATATCCAGATACTTGAGGCAAAAGGGAATTGGAGGTTTAAACTCCACAGATAACAATCTCAGTTCTCATTTGGGTTTGCTAAGAATACAAAACACTTCATAAATGAAGATTACCTAGCAGAAATTTCTAAAGATTGTGTATAGACGACATGAATGGCAGCCCCCAAACCAATCTTCTCCCTGCTTTTTCAGCAAAACGTGCCATTAATTAAGGCTATTTAGGCTCACCTGTGTCTTTCAAACTTGCGGAAACTGATTACGTTTACCAATAAGCAACCGAGCAAGATATTCTCCCAAACAGGAAAAGGTAACTGTTTAATTCAGTTTTCACTTACCTTTGAGCTTCTGGAGATGAGCTGCTGTTATGAGGAAGGTGGAAACAGCTATCAAATATTTTAGTTCTGTCTCCTACAGTGAACTAGTTTCTTCTAAGAAGGAGCCTCTCTAATCCCAGCACTCTGGGAGGCTGAGGCGGCTGGATCACCTGAGCTCACAGGTTGGAGACCAGCCTGAGCCAGAGCAGACCGCAGCTCTAAAATACCCAGGTGTTGTAGCGGGTACTTGTAGTCCCAGCTACTTGGGAGGCTGAGGCAAGAGGCCTGCTGGAGCCCGAGACTGTGAGCTATATCAGCTCTCTAGGGAGGGTGACAAAGTGATACTCTGTCTCAAAAAAAAAGAAGAAGAAGAAGAAGAGGCCTCTGCTCCCAGTGCCCAGCACTCCTGTCTCGCACTTGCCGTATTCTCCTGCCACCCTGCTCTGTGCTCTTCGCTGCTTCTGGCCTGTTGTCCGTCCGGATGCCGTTACTCTCCTTGGTTACCAGTACCCTCAATGCCAACTCTGTAGGATGTGGGTCCAATGGGCAGTGTGGGTCCAGTGGTGACTGCCTTCCCACCCCTTCTTGTACCCATTTCTCCTGACGTGGGATAATCCTGGGCATGGCTATGGAGCTCCTCGCTGCCCACCTACTCACAGCCCTGTCTTTCCTTCATTTGACCCACATTACTCAGCAAATGTAAAAGAGGATCCTCTACTCATGAACCCAGGCCTCCAGACATTAAATATCCCCAAACCATTTCTATTCTGCTGTCAAATGTTGTAACACTTTTATTTATTCATTTCCTAATGTCACTAGACTGATTATGAAGTTTTACTATTTAGCAGTGTGATACATCCAATCAGTTGAAAATCCGAAAAGTCTGATCCCCCTATGAGTAAGAAGAATTTCCTCCTGCCTAATTACCTCTCAAGTCTGGACATTATTTTTGTTTTGTTTGTTTCATTTTGTTTTTCCCTGCCTTTGGATTGGACTGGAATATCAACTCTTCCTGAATCTTGAGCCTGCCAGCTCTCAGACTACAACCACTGGCTTTCCTGGGTCTCCGGCTTGCTAATTGTGGTTCTTAGGACTCGTTCGGCCTCTATAATTATGTGAACCATTTCCTTATTGTATCTCTATACAATATACAAATAAATATATATGTATAGGGTGCCAAAAATGTATACACATTTTAAATTAAAATTGTAATACTCAAGTCATGTTATATTGCAATTATAAGACACACTCAAATGTGACTTGTATTCATTTTTGTTACTGGTATATATTGAGTATCACAATTTTAATACACTTTTTTCTTTCCTAAAATGTGTATACATTTTTTGGCACCCTGTGTGTGTGTATATACACAGTATCCTATTGGTTCTTCTTCTCTGCAGAAACCTAATACCAGCTTCAGCTCCCCCAATTACTTGTTTTGTTTACTATCCAAGAAATTAAAAGCAGCTTTTTTTTCCAAATTACAAATTTGGATTTTTTAAATGTCTCCCTGCTTGTAAATAATTGAAGCAGTTTATTCCCAGAAGCAATTGATCTATGATCAGCATACTTTTTGTCTTACAAAAAGGGATAGAAGACAAACAGGTACTGGCCCTCCATCCCATTGCAATTCTCTCCTGCCAGGTGCTCTGGGAATTCCTCAAACTGAGCCTCACGTGTGCTCACAAACAAGTGTTTCCCATGAACCTCTGCTCCATTCTCCTTCTGGAAGTTGACTGCCCAGGAGGCTGTCTAAAGTGGCCTTACATTTTCCACAGCTGACAATGCCCCTCATAAACCATCATGTCTTGTAATATTCCCAGAACTAATCGCCGATATTTGAGGGTTCATAAGCACCTCCTGTGTAGAAAAGGCTTCTCTCTGAGTCAGGAAGAAAGCTCTCCCCTAGGCTGTGTCACTTTCCTACTTACCCACTCTTGAGACAAGGGATGACAAACCAGGCTGGAGCTATTACGAGAAACTGAAAATTTCGGCAGAAACTCAGCTCCCTGTCTTCATAATTTTTGCTGTTCCTATCAAAATTCTAAAAATCATGGGCTCCATTTTAGTCAGAGCCCAAACCCAAGGTACAGCGTAATTCATGAACCTCAGCTGATTTCAAGAATGTCTCTTAACCCACACCTAAGCCAGAAAGCCCGGTATTGAGAGGGCAGACTTCATCTACAGCAGAGATCACTGCCCTTCCCTTGCATGACATGGTTTTGGACTAATTTTTTCTCAATATAGATGCTCTTCAACTTACAATGGAGTTATGTCCCAATCAACTCATCGTAAATCAAAACATCCTAGATGGAAAATGCGTTTAATATCCCAATAAACCTACCTTAAAGCAAAACATTTTTAAATTGAACCATCACAAGTAAGGGACTATTTGCATGCATAAAAATGGGAGTAAGATGCTGAGAGTAGGAAGGAGAAATATCTTTTAAAAAAAATCACATCAATATTTTCAAGACATTCATTTACAATTATTTTATTAAACAATCATCTTTTACATGTCATCAGACCTTACCCCTGAAGTGCAAAAAACAGTTTGAGGTATTAAAACTGAAGGAATATTTGCACATATTTTGTAAGGTTTTCACACTATTAACCAGAAAATTCAGTATATCTAAATACTACGTACAACAGTAGGTCAATAAGAACAAAGATTTTTGTATAAAACAAACCTGGTTTGTCTCATTATAGCTCTGATTCTCCCATTTAGTATGAAAGGGTGGTAAAAAATAATATATGACTTAAGTTGCTTCTCCGATGATATATGTCCAGTATTCAATTCTGTAAAATGGAGTATAGAATTTAAAAGGTCAACAGCTGAAACAGCGGCCATCCCAAAAGCATAAAAATCAAACTGACAAAACAGCTTCAATGATATAATGTCCTATTCACAGAACTCAATCCTCAGATCAATGGCAATTCAGTTAAAGTATCAGAAATAGATTGAACCGAATCTCCCAATACTATGCAAGTATATATAAGACCCCATTAGTAGCATGGTCAGTTCATCATGTTAACACAAATAAAATTCGGACTGGTCACTTCAGAGTTATTTTGAATAACATAGGGAAGAGGAGCTTGGCTTTTGAAGTGATTTAAAATTTTTTTTATATTAAAGAAATTATCCTGAGATTTTCCAGATCCCATTTCACTTTGTGTCTTCACTTTGAAATACAAAGTTGTGGCAATCATATAGCTAACTATCATACTATAAACTTTCTCCTGAAATATTCAGGCAAGTTGGAGAAAAGGCATTTTTTTAACTTGATTATTGATTTAGTTATTAACTAACTGACAATGTAGACACTTCATTTGAACCAAATCTAAAATTGCATAATGATTTGTATGTAGTATAATAAATTAAGTCCTAATTAATGGGTCACAAATATTGCACAGAAATTAGTTATTATGGCAATTTTTTACAGTTAATATGGCCCGTCTGGTAAGGGCACATGTTTGGTTTTGGTGTTTGTCACTGAGTTTCATTTGTACAATGTGTCAACAAGGCATGAACAAAGATCTTCTTTCAGTAAGAACATGGGCTACTTAACACTTGTCTTTTTTATTTTTGCAAAACTTTAAAGGGTTAAATTTTTTTTAAAGGGTTAAATGTTTCTGGCAGTTTACTATTAGAGAAAAATACTGTTTATTTATGGCGATTATGACCCCTGGAAGGCTCCGGATCATTTGGTTTGTATGGCATCAAAACTATGAAGGAAGAGGAACATGTTTTATGTTGAATCCAACAATATTCTGCAAACTACACTTAACCTAAGTTTCCTCTTCGTTCTAGGAATAAAAAAGCAAACTTAGGTGTTAAAAACCCTTACAGAGCACTATGCTTATGTAGAGGTGACAATATTCTTTTCCCACAACTACGGTTTGCTTTCACATGCAGTGATTCTTGAATTAAGAATAATCTTCACACAGTTGCCTTCCTGCTGGAAGCAGAGCAGCAAAGCAGCTGAACCATCCACCTGGGAGGAGTGTTAACATGGGCTGATGTTCTCACGTGCAGCAGAAGGAGAAAACTGATCATTGCCATGCCTGCTCATGAATAATGATCCAGGGCCACTTAGTATTAGCCTTGGAAGCTAATAACTACTTTTACTATTGGCTACACAAATAGATGCCCAGATGAATGTGGAAATCACCCCCAAACCCTGAAGGTCACAGAAGTAGTAAAATCTCAGGTATCCAATTTGGCTGGTCTAATTAAAACACACTCCCAAGCTGAACAAAAGCAACTTCCATTTTAGTACCACACATGCAAATCTACATGTTGTTGCACTGGGCTTTGGTGCTTAGAAAAATAATGCACATTTTATTTTTTTCTACGCCCACTTTTAGCTTAGTAACCAACAATCAATAAAAAACAAATAAAATGAAACATCACTGATCCTCTAAGATCTGAGTTCTGAATATTTTTTACTTATTGTCAGTATACCCATTGGTACCATAAACATAGGGCTGGCCACATGCCTAAGCGACAACAGCAATATTAGCAAAACTCTTTCACTATCATCATGCTGACGAGCTACACTATGAAATCTATCAAACCTACAAATATCAAATGCTGGCTGGCATTCAATTCAGAGGGAACACCGGCCGCAGTCACACACAGCAGTCACTGAAAGCAAGTCAGAGCCGGAACCTGTTACAGTCAGTCGAAGACTGGGTTTCTTATGCCGTTCAACACCAGACTAGTGGGTCCCTTCCTGTGTAGAAGAGCCAATGAGCACAGGAGAAGGGAGAAGCTCATGACTCCCAGAATCACCATTCCTGATATCAGCGCGCTGGTGATGGGATTCAGCTGGAAAGGGGGCACACTTGGAGAGCCTGCAAGCAATGAAAGACACACAGTTGTAAATGCCCCATGTTACATTTATATACTAAGGGACAATTTAGACTTGCAAAACATCTGTCACTGGTATCTTATAGAACAGCAACATGACACAGG